GGATGAGGGGGGGGGGGTGTCTGGGCCACTTGTCCACCTCGTGGCGTCGCCAGCGACGCCTGCGAGTCGGAGCAAATGATTATGGGGTCTTCCTCGAAGGACGGGTGCTTCAGGAGATGTTGCTTTGCCGTTTTGGGCGCCACCATCTCAGATCGGTAAATGGAGCAAATCCTCCCCGCCGCCTCCCGCAGTACCAATGTTGTACTGTCTGGGTGCTCGGTGAGGACCCCAGCGCCGCCTTCCTATTACTCCCCCGGTCGCAGACCCGTCGACCCAGGCCCACGTCGCACGCTGGGGGAGCGCTCCCAGTCACGCCTCCGCAGCACTCCTCCTCGCTGTCGCGGACGCCCCGATCGGCAGCAGGTCCAGGTGGACCGTGACGCCGTCTGTTGGCGTCTACGGGGGCAGTCTCGTGGATAAGCGCGCCTCGGCGGGCAGCGCCACTCCAGTGGTCCCACACCGCTCCCCCGCGCTCTCTCCAGCCGGTCACTGACTTCAGTCACGGTTGGGGGGGGGGGCTTCCGCCACGACGCGGCGGGTCCTCCGACGGGAGGGAGAGCGCCTTCGCCAGTAGGCGCGATGCCAGCGCATCCCTCCTCATCTCTCCATCGGCACGACGCCCGCCTCGGCCCTCACGGCGAGTCTTGGAGCATGGAAATCGGGCAGCCAGTGATGACTCATGCCACCATCAGCATCTCCGCCTCCAGGACGCCAAGATGTGTGGCCGCAGCCGCAGGCAGCCACGCCGACCCCGCTGCCCGCATGCCCAAGTAGTCTCGAATCGCTGACACCTCTCCTGAAACAAGAGTGGTGTCGTAAACTTAAACCCCTTGCTGGAGCCCGCCAGCCGCGACAACACCGCCACACCAATTTTTGTGACCCCGGAACTTCCGTCCCGAGCCTTATTTCACGGCACGATGCTACAGTGCGCTACACGTATTGTGGTATTCAGCTTCCATGGAAACATCAACTAATTTGGACGCTCAAACATGGGAGTCAGGAGTGGTTAAGGCCCAGAGCGTTCTGTCTGGTTTATAAAACCTTGGCCAGCAGATGTAAACGTGCTTTTTGTATAAGTGGCTTAATTTTGACGCAAAAGGGCACTAACCTTCGGCGCAAATAATGCAGAAATTTTAGCGCAAATTGCAAAATAGCTTGCGCCGAACTTCGGCGCATGACGGCTTCACGGGCGTCCGGCGTACCATATGGATGTTTTCCTGTTTGGGCTGCAGGTTTTAGCTCTAGGTTTTAGACTGTAGGTTTTGGGTTGGGTTGGGCTGGGCTGGGCTGGGCTGGGCTGGGCTGGGCTGGGCTGGGCTGGGCTGGGTTGGGCTGGGCTGGGCTGGTTGGGGTGGTTGGGTTGGGTTGGATTAGGTTAGGTAAGTTTAGGTTAGTTTAGTTTAGGATAGATATGAATACCTATTTTTTGTAAGTTGAATTATTTTTTTCATTTTGTAGCATCATATGCCTTCCATCTTTGAACTGCCATATTCAAGCACCAGAATAAGTATGGACTTGAACCTTTTCCAGTCTGGATGCCTGTATGGAAGTTGTGCAAAATCATGCAGTTGAAGGTATTGTAACCACAAATAAGAGCTCATGACTCAAGTCTCAACTTGTCCATAATTGGTTATCTTGATGTATACTTGTAGACCCTTCCTCTTACTTGGCACACAGGCATGGTGTCACAGTGTTCTAAAATTGGATTTCAATTGGGTGTCCCAATAAAAAAAAATCTGAAGACAAAATGAGATAGATTTAGTCTTTCCGCAAAACTGCATAATGCCATTTTTACCTCAGATTTTGTCAGAACCTTCACAGGATCTGAAATGAAATGATGTAGAGTAGATGCATCAACTGTCAAGTCATGCGTAACCTGGCAGCTGGCTGTTGAATCAAACTTTTGACATATTTTTTTAGCAAAGATGAAATAAAGCCACTTGTCATATTTTTAGGATGAAAACATTTTCCCCATCATGTGTGGTTATTCACCTAAAATTCTGAAACATGGAACAGTGTCATACCAGCATTCCATCATGTCAACCAGCATTCCGCAGCATGTTAGCAGAAGCAGCAGCATATTATAAGTATATGAAAGATCCAAATAGGTTGTAGGTTGGTAGGTATTGGTACTAAGTTTAACTTAATAGGTTAGTAGGCAAGGTTAGGATTAATTTTAGTTGAGCATCAAGATAACCATTACGAACAAGTAACAAAATCCTTACCTACCCTTGAAAGCATTGCTTCAATCACATCATCACGAAGAACCAGACAAAATTTTTGCACATTCTTACACTATTTGACATCCTGAATCCAGATATGATGCTTTCATGTGGCGCAAATACAAGAAAAACGAATAATCAAACCCGTGCGTATTCGTATCAACGGCGCCACAATTGTAGATCAGACCTTTTCTGAACAAATGCCACCACAATTTTAATTGATAAGGGATTAAAATGGCATGAGCATCAACATCTTGATTTTTTCTAAAAGATAGCGATAACTGATAACTAATAACTTACCATTCATTTTGAAATCACGGCGGTAGGTACACCAACACATGGCACTGAAAACAGCAAAAGACGGAATGGCGGAATGTCGTATGGAGCCCTAAAACGCAGCTCGAATTGAGCCCGAAAAGGAAGACGAACTGATGCCGCTTTCGGGGCTAATGTACTTTGAGCCCGAAAAGGGCGCCTAACTGATCCCGATTTTAAAATCATACAGATTTGAGCCCTGTTTTGGCACTCATATGAGCCCTTATTCAAAAATGTTCTCAAAGTGTTTTCTGAGTGTACCTTTCAGTCGAGTGTGTATTGCGGCACAGTCTACCTTTCAGCCGAGTGTGTATTGCGGCATAGTCTACCTTCCAGCCGAGTGTGTATTGCGGCACAGTCTACCTTCCAGCCGAGTTTGCATTGCGGCACAGTCTACCTTTCAGCCGAGTGTGTATTGCGGCACAGTCTACCTTCCAGCCGAGTTTGCATTGCGGCACAGTCTACCTTTCAGCCGAGTGTGTATTGCGGCACAGTCTACCTTTCAGCCGAGTGTGTATTGCGGCACAACTTAACTCCCAGCTGAGTGTGTATTGCGGCACAGCCTACCTTCCAGCCGAGTGTGTATTGCGGTACAGCCTAGGTACCTTCTGTGATGATGCCCCCCTGGGGTCCGGAAGCGGTGGGGAGTATGTTTTCAAAAAAAAATATTGTTTAATAAAATTTCGTTCATCGGGGGTGTTTTCTGTCCGAGATGGTTGCCGACCTGCGCCGTGCTCTGGAACGACCTCAGGTGAGTGTTTTCGGCTGGTAGATCCTCAAATGGTTGATTAATGAGTTGATTTTCTTGCTGTTTGATTTCTCTCCTGTTCAAACGTAATTTACACACCCATTTCCAATTGCTGATCGGTCCGTTGGTTTCAAGCTGACCGATTCCTTTCTGCCACCGTTCCTTGCGCCTGGGGCTCGTCACAAACAATATTTATAATGAGGCTGGCTTGTCGCTTGTCAACATATAGTCTTCACTGCCTAGGATGGTATCTGTCTCATAAGGAATTTAGGACACGGATGTCTCCCCAAAGCATATAATTTTGATGCCTCCCTTGAGGACATAACCTGAAGCCACCATCTGATACCTGATAGCTACCCACCATTCTCTCCCTTTCTAATGCCTATCATCCCAAAGATAATCGAGTACATCCCCATTTAATGTCGCCCTCAATGCTGAGATTAGATCTCCCGCTGGTCCTTACACTATATGACGCATACCTCAATCTCCCTCAGACTCACGCTCTTTGTCATACCTCTCTCATCCCACTACAATAAATTTGATCCCGCGTCGACCTCTCAGTCCCTCCCAGCAATTGTTCTAACTCCCTCCAGCGGTACATATCAGGGACAATAAACGCAATTTGTTCAATAGACTCCGTGATTAGTGTAAATTTCATCTAAGCTTACTCTTACCTCCCAACGACTTATCGCGCCCCATTCCAGCATTGGAATCGTGTGTGCTCTTCCTAGCACCTCTTGGGCTCCCTGGCCCAATATCCTCGAACACCTACATCACCTGACCCTGATTACTTGTCTAAAGGTGCAACGCAGGTAGCGATTACATTATTAGCGTTCGTCGATGGATGTGATTGGTTCAATCAATCTCTGCCGGCCCACTCTCTTCGAACACCTACATCATTTGACCCCGATTACTTGTCTAAAGATCGACGCGGGTAGCGTCAGTTATTAGCGTTCCTCAGTGGCTTATGATTGGTCCGTCAACCTCTGCCGCTCACGGCACATCTCTGTTTCCCTACTAAAACCCCGCGGCCGGACGTTGGTTACTGACCCTTGCAGCCCTTCTGTGAGAGACCGTCTTACGCGTTTTCACCTAACGAACCGGTGGACACAATCCTGCTGCCCGGCGACCGCAGTCTCACTGGGCTCATAGACAGGTACCTACTCCGTACTCTCATGCAGTCATGGCACCCGCAAGTGGCGCCTTTGAATCATTGACCGGTGTGACTCGAAGACTCCATGACTGAATCTATCCTACAATTTTATCCGACGCCGTGGAATCCTGTCCTGCAGATGTGTGTTCAAGCGCGTTAGCGTCATGAGTGATACATGCTGCGATCCTTTCCGACGGTGGACTTACCTCACCTCATCCTGGCGGAATTACCCCTTCGCCTCAATCTATCACCTTCGTATTTTGTCACTCACCTTCGGCGGAGTTCTCCCTCGTCCTGTCTCTCTGACTCACCTCTCAGCTTGGGCGTCTTATGGCGTTCTTTGTTCTGATATCTGCCTAACATATTTACTTACTTACTCCGTAACGTGAGACAGTCCAATCCTAGAAGACTTAGACGTATCAACAGAGTCAAAAACACATGAAAGTGTTGCAACATACCTCCTCTTCGGCTAGCATCCATCCTTAGATCTTTTCCTCCTTGTGTAATTCCGGTTTCAATATCTATCGACCACTTCAGAGTCACTCCTTCTGTATCTCCTTACCTGTCTGATCCGTAGATTCCCTTCAGTCCATGTGCGCACCACTGCGCGGTACGAGTCAATTGTTACCCGCGACATGAAAAAAAAAATCATTGGATAGAGAAATCTGCGCCGCCAAATACTCAGACCATCTACTACTCCTTTCATCTACACGATATTTACGCCTACCAGCCGAAACGTCTCCACCGCAGCTTGCTATATTCACTCAGTGACGTCATATTCCAGGAAACAGACTGTGTTTACGCTTGTTGATCAGTAATGACGTCATAAGATCGTGTCGTCTGCGGGTTGGTCCTTGGTGCATCCTGACTTCTCATCGTCTAACCGCGTATATATCTTTCCCGAGCGAAAAAAACAAACATTCCAGTTTTTTGGCGCTTTTGTTTCAATTGTGGTGGTTCTGTTCGAAGGCTCATACAGATGGTGTTTGCGCAAAATTTCTTACGGGAAATCACCGACTATTTAGTGTCGACAGCTGCATATTACCTTTTTGAACACGCCTCCATCACTGCTTGTTTATTGGCTGTCTGTTGTATTGGGCTGTGTTGCTGTATAGTGTATATACCGTGTGTTTTGCTGGGTGATTGTGATAATATTTTGATGATTAACCTTTTTATTCAGCGGTAGATAATTCTAAAAATCCCAGGGGGTGCTACAAACCCCTAATTATCCACCCCTGTTTTTTTATTTTAAGTTCCATCCAGTACCAGTATGAGTGTTTATGGCAATGGAAGGTAGGTGAAACATTTCATTATTGTAATTTTAATCTTTTGAGACATGAATTTCAACATTCTCTTGAGAGCCTGAGAGCATTCATGCCAAGGTTTCTGAGTCTGTTTCATGATAAAGAGACAATATTTATAATGGAGTCAACTTGTGGGTCAAGTCAGCAGAACTTGAACTTGATAAATGAGTACCTATGACATCACCTCTACACCTGTCGCCTCCTGTATTGTAGTGATGGCAGGTTCAATGCTGAGTCTCAGAATAATAGCCAGCGAGCGTATACTGTTGTTTTGTATTTCTATGCCCGATCGGCCCCAATGTCTTGCATTTCTAAATATTGAACTGTAATGAATGAGACGCTGTAATGAGGTACTGTAATGAAAAGACTGCCTCAGACTGCAAGGTTCTATTTAACCAAATATGACTGCATGTCTGCTACAGAATGAAACACTGACAAACACTGACACTGACATCAGGCACTGACAAAGTGAATGCACAAGAACGATAAGGACTTCTGGACTTCAGAGCAAGAGATACACCTGACGCTCAGGAACGCTGCTGTCACCACATATAGCATACAGCACCCGGTCGTGCCCATCATTAGCCTACAAGCCCCACCAGACGCTAACCGGCCACGATTTTCTGCATCGATTTTCTGCATCCCCTGCATCGTTCATCACAGATGGCTATAATTAGGATCTGAATGCCAAAATTCATGGGTAGGAAGTTGCTTTCAAGCACTGTCCAGCTCTCAAATGGGCGATAGCCACAACGCCCCCTGCAGTCGCACTAGTCTTAAAATTGATACATCCACTCTACTTACAGGCACGGTGTATATTCAACCCAAAATGCACATAAATATCACAACAAAACAAACCTATTCCCTGCATGACCATGTGAGTAGCACTCCCCGCTAGCTGCGCTTCAGTTTATCCCCGACCCGCTCCCTGACCGCCTGGAGGAGGCGGAGCTCGCTGTACACCGCCGCGGCCACCACGGCGGCCCCACAGAGCGCGCCCACAGCCACATGGGCGGCGGCGGAGCTGGGGTACAGCCAGCTCTCGGAGCCGGCTGCCAGCAGGCCGGCGGTCACCAGCGCGGCAGCCACGGCGGGCGGCGGGCGGAGACCGAGTAGCGGCGGCACGGACACCGCCGGCTCCAGCGGCAGACCGGCCACGAACCGGTAACTGGCGACACACGGGGCGGGGACAGGGTGAGAGAGGTACGGGACACTGTATCGGGCATCAGCGACACACGGGGTGGGGACAGGGTGAAAGGGGTACGGGACACTGCATCAAGCGCCAGCAACACACTGGACGGGGCGAGCGGGCAGCAGCAGCAGAAAATGGGACGAAGACATGATGGTTGAGAGTGGCACGGGGCACTGTATCGGGAACCAGCAGCATACGGGGAGGGGACGGGATGACAATTGAGAGGGGTGCAGGACACTATTGGGGACAGCAGACATTCGTATCAGTCGTGGACGGGTGAAGTAACGAGATCCAAGTATATCGAGATCGGCGATAAAGCGTGATATTGACTATCCATGACAGATTGGATAATGATGTAAATAATTAGACCAATTAGGACAAATCAAATCTATTCAAAAACACAAAAACTCACCAAACGTATATCCTGGTCAGCATATTGACGCAGTTGGCGAGGATAAATCCAACCCCGCCGAATAGCCTAGTAAAGATCCCTGTCGAGATGACGAATATCACAGATAGCAGCACCATCTTCCGGTTATACCTGAAACACCGGAAAACGCCACAACACCTGTCAAAGCGCCCGATAGTAGCGTTCCTAGCTTCACTTTATCGACACAACTGGCCAGCCTTTCTACTTCGCCTTTAGCCGCAAAAGGCAGTCTAACAACAAAAACCAACATGAGAACGTCATTTCCTAATCCGCTCAGCCTCTACCGACTAATTTACCTCACTCCTTACTAAGCCACCGACCATTTCCCGACTGCTTTCCATAAACCCTCCACGGCACTTACCCATTGATCTGTTCCTGGCGCATCACCGCGAACGTGTAGCACTCCAGCACTCCGTTCACCGCCAGTAGGAGCACGTAGGCGCACTGGGCGCGCAGCAAACTGACGGCCGGACCGGCGGCCAGCAGGGCGCCGCCGTACAGCCGCAGCAGCAGGGGGGGGGGGGGGGGTAGCTCCAGCCGAACGTGACGGCAACCAGACCGAGCAGGCTCATGGCGCGCAGCAGGTCGTGCAGAACCCGGCCCGCCGCGGCAGACACCGGCTGCAGGGAGAGGGGGTAGGGTCAGACTCATAGCGCGGAGTAGGTCGTGTAGCACCCGGCCCGGCCCGCCACCGCAGACACCGGCTGGAGGGGGAGGGAGCTGTCAGGCACCGGCTGGAGGAGAGGTGCCAAACTGTCCCCTTCCAGTGACTGGCGAGAAGGGGAGAGATGGCCAGAAGGATAGAAGCTGGGCAATAAAACAAACCGAATGACAAAAAAGACACCAAGATGAAGATCACAACGACTGGCAGTAAGGACTTATAGCGGAGATGAAGAGTAGCTACGAGTATAATTGGCTAATATCAGAGGAGTGTGTGCTTACAGCTTTTTCGGCGCCTTACCGGGCATCGACACACTGTGGTCAACGTTACTGATATTTTCACCAAATGCCACTACTCCTCAGTAAAAAAAAACACAAAAAAAAAAACTAACATCAATCACCTCCTACCACACAATCAGCCACGTTGCCACCTACCTTTCCCCGTTCCACTGTGCGCGAGAAGTAGACGTAGGCGTTCTTCTCGACTGGCTGAAAGAGGAAGCGGGCCGCCAGGCTGCCCAGGTTGGCCACCACGTCGTACAGGCCCTGCTCGGAGAAGTCGAGCAGGTGGAAGGCGGTCATCAGGTAGCGCTCGCCCTCCGTCAGCAACTGCTTCAGCATTTTTCAGCAAATTCAGAGCAAAATTCAGCAAAATTAGCATTTTTCTTATGGAGTACACACTACAGTTCTGGTGAGAAAATAGCATATGTTCTACTTAGGAACTCAGACATTGGATGCATCACTGATGCATGATAGGAAAAAAGTAAAGGGTGCATACCTGACATTGATGATGCCCAGCACATCAGATGTAATATACCGGAGAATGACTGCATTTGTGATGAATGTGAACACTCAGTAGGTTATCTGAAAGACATTTGTAGGTATAGCTTCAGCATCAATATGTGCAACACAGACCATGCTATTCTGGGCCCTGTTTCACCGGTGATGGCAGCACGCTGCTATCACACGTGTCAAATTGGGTTTCCACGGAAACATCAGCAAACCATGACGCCGTCAATCTGTGTGATGTCATCAAACATTGCTGCCAACAGCTTCACGGTCGTGCGATCAAACACATCGCATTCAACGAAACAGCAACTCTGTTCCAAACGCAGCTCACAGATTACACGAAACGTCATAAGTGTGACCTCATCACATTACGTCAGCTCGCGCAATTTGATAGTAGCATGCTGCTATCAACGGTGAAACAGGGCCCTGGTCTCTGCAGCATATAGGTACCTACTTCATTGGTGGAAAATCCCAGGGGGTGCTACAAACCCCTAATTATCCACCCCTCTTTTTTATTTTAAGTTCCATCCAGTACCAATATGAGTGTTTATGGCTTGGAAGGTAGGTGAAACATTTCATTATTGTAATTTTAATCTTTTGAGACCTGAATTTCAACATTCTCTTGAGAGCCTGAGAGCATTCATGCCAAGGTTTCTGAGTCTGTTTCATGATAAAGAGACAATATTTATAATGGAGTCAACTTGTGGGTCTCTACCGCTGAATAAAAAGGTTAATCATCAGAATATTATCACAATCACCCAGCAACACACGGTATATACAGCAACACAGCCCAAATCCCAATACCACGGACAGCCAATAAACAAGCAGTGATGGAGGCGTGTTCAAAAAGTTAATATGCAGCTGTCGACACTAAATAGTCGGTGATTTTCCGTTAGAAATTTTGCGCAAACACCATCTGTATGAGCCTTCGAACAGAACCACCATAATTGAAACAAAAGCGCCAAAAAACTGGAATGTTTGTTTTTTTCGCTCGGGAAAGATATATACGCCGTCTAACCTTGGACACGCCAACTTTGATCGGAATTTCAACTTGATTATTCTGGGTGTGGCCTGTGATTTAATGAAGTAATTCTCGGTAGTGCCCAATCATTTGTGATCATGAATATTTTATTTGTGGATTGCTGTCTGGCGTCCCTCCCCGCGCTGTCGCAAATTTCTCTGGGGTCGTAAGTATTTGCATCAAGGGAATTCTAAGGTAGTGCGCCGGATTAGTCTCAATTTGGCATTTCGATTTAAAAAAAAAAACAATCCAACTCATGTGATTTCACGTTATCTTACTGAACCAATTTATGAGAGTCAATTTTATAATGCAGGTTTTTATTGACATACTCGACCAGATGATTTATTTAACTTGCAATTCAATTGCAATTGACAATCGACTTGTGGTGTTCTAATTTAAAGAAGCTCGGTTTACCGATTGCTATGTTGTTGAAGGTATACAAATTTTGGCAAATGTGATATCCAATTATTGAGTGGGAACATTAGCAATGAGAAATGGTTATATCAAATCAGGGGGGGGGGCTGTAAATTACAATAAGCTAATGGGGAACGAACCATTGGAGAATGGTACTAATTCAAGCTAAATTGATGGCTCGGCAAAGACTGGTGTAATCATCGTTGTATCTGTTCCGTCACCTGACAAAGTTTGTCATGTTCAATGATGCCTTATAAATTTTCAATTCCAGGATGTTAAGTGAAACTGCACTGGTCTGAAACTGTTGTGCTAGCATCCAAGGCCAGATATGAGATCAGTTGTGACTTGAGAGGTCAATGATCATTGACATTGAAATTCCATGTTCAACAGATCATGTCAATAGAAAGGGGTCAAATAACCTTGGATGTTACTGGGAATAATCTGACTCGAATTGATGCATGCTACTGATTTATCATCTGAATTTATTAACTGGCATAATCCACTGGCCAGTGAGTACTCAAGGGTCATGCGACCTTGTTTCTTAACTGACACTTAGGCAAAAATATATTCTTTAAAACAAAATGTTGGTATCAAACCGTAATTTGGGTCCATGAGGTGATCTGCCACAACTTCGTAGGTATCATCTTTGCATTCCTTAATTTTAACGTATCCCTCCGAAACTCTGTAAGTATAGTTGTCAGTGGCTTTTCACGCCGCGCATGACATGAGATTGAATGTCATCCTAGCTTGGGGTGGCAATGATCTTTGACCTTTTGTTGTACATGTTTGTTAGGGAATGACACTAGAAATGTGACTGGGGTGGGTGTAATTTCCTCATAAGTCCCTAGTGCGGCTCAATAATCTAGTATCATCTGACTCAGCCGTGGCCTCTTTCTGTCAATTTCTAAGTTTAGTGATGTGCGCTCAATCATAACACAAGTTATTCTCCATTCCTGCCTTTTAGCCTATAATTGTCTGCTAATCTGATTTGGTGGCATGCCTCACGATGTAGAGTTTGGTTTCAACTGACAAAGGTAGCCAGTTTCTCCCAGAATTAAACCGTAGAGTTGTTCACCAAGATTTGCTAAAATTTGATGATATGCGACTGCTGTCTATTTCTCCCCCTTTTGACCACCCGCAAATTTGTCCGTCTTTTCTACTAAAGTCAGCATGGGTCAATCGTTGAAAGAAGGGTTCGTCCAGCTGTCTTTAACAGATAATTTGTTCTCCCAGCAGGCCCATATCGGTGCATTGTTCGCGGTGCAGCTGAGGGCCGGTGACCAGCGCTCTTTCCGATCCAGCGGCGAGGGACCGGGTCATACCTACTCGTGAGGTTCAACTGTCCTCGCCGTTTGCCTAACTGGGTTGAATTAGCGCGACGGTCACTTTTGCCTGCTGGTTAAATGAGTTATCACGCCTTACTTGAAAGGTTTCGACAAATTGAACGTATTCCAATGCAATGATCACTAAATGTTATTTAGATCATTTGAGAAGGTGCCCTGTGATCAAAAGCCATCTTTGTTTGATTCAGTCATTTGTTTAGCTGTTGAAACGAAGTTGAAACTCAGACCTTTGGTTTGTTGTTGGTCTGAGTCCTTTAAACAAAAGATATTTCATCGAATCTACATATTACAAGATTTGTAAATTAAGCCAACGTGGAGGGTTAGGTGATAAGCATCCTTAAATGCTTGTAATTATGAGCTTAGCGGGGACATGACCTTGTTCCACACCTGACCGGCGACCATTCTCGACTCATCGACTCATCGAGCGTCGACTCATCGACGCTTTTGGCGCCGCCTAGTGGATGTAGTTGTAGGCTACACTGGCTAGGTGGCAGTAGAGTGCTACGCATCTACTTTGTACCAAAACCTTTCATTTATGGGGTCGATCTTTGTAAAGACTGAATTAAAACGTTTTGCTTCGACATCCTCCTCCCTCTTTCTCTCTCTCTCTCTCTCTCTCTCTCTCTCTCTCTCTCTCTCTCTCTCTCTCTCTCTCTCTCTCTCTCTCTCTCTCTCTCTCTCTCTCTCTCTCTCTCTCTCTCTCTCTCTCTCTCTCTCTCTCTCTCTCTCTCTCTCTCTCTCTCTCTCTCTCTCTCTCTCTCTCTCTCTCTCTCTCTCTCTCTCTCTCTCTCTCTCTCTCTCTCGCTAACTCACTCTCTCGCTTACTCACCTTCTCGCTCTCTCTCTCTCTCTCTCTCTCTCTCTCTCTCTCTCTCTCTCTCGCTCACTCTCTCTCTCTCTCTCACTAGGATCATTCACATTCGCCCTCTCACTCACCCACTCATTTCAGTCAGTCACACGCAATTGCGTGCCGACACGAGGGACCTCTTGCGGCAGTTTAGGGAACCAGCTTGGTCTATTTCACGCTAGGCGGCACTGCTAGTACTGTCAGCTGCATCTGAGCGCTGTCGGAGTTTGCACCGAAGGCATTGGACCTTGAAGGTGGCGCTAGTGGTGCTACCGTTGGTGCGTCAATTGACCTGTTAATTGTTTAAGGTCATGTTTAAGGTCAAGGGTCATACATTTTTCATTTCGCGCGGACTACAATCGCTCAGTTTTTAGTAAAACTCACGGGGCCCAACATACTCCCAAAATTAATCACAAATTACTTCAAGGAACGGGTGGGCGTGGTCACGTTCACGATCCCGGTGTTAACTAACTTGAGTGGGCTGGAAGTGTAGGCAAATGCTGCCCGGCGGCATAATGCGTGGTGTGACCGTGCACGTTACATGGTTCCTGTCAATTAATTGGGGTCTGCAGACTACTCAGTAATCCGATCTGAACAAAACGGTCCTTATCATACCTGAATGGTGATTAATGGGCGGTGATAATTTCTCGCTTCCCTCCGTAACCAACTCTAGTTGTATACAAACAGGGTGACATTTTCACGTCACATTGAACGGTAACTCGCTTGACGTTTATGATTAATTGTCTCAAATGATGCATCAATTTAACAACCGTAACATTTCTACGTTAATCTTTGATATACCTCGACGGGGGAGCTAGCATCAATATCAGTTAGGTACTGATAATGCTAGGAGAGAAAGGGAATTGATTGACAGGTTACGAACAGCGAAAAATTTAAAACGATTGAAATGGTGATTCAGATTTGTATCAGTTATATGAACGCGAATCACGAAACGACTCAATACTGATTTAATAACAACCCGGAAGGCAATTCAACTTGTTCTGGCGCTGAGCTGCCGAAGGAGCAGAATAATGTTTGACGTTTACAATGTTTACTCTCCCTATCCGAATGTAACTGAACACGTTACGACTTCTTGGGCCGCCTTCGAATCAAACCTTATCCAAATGATGAATCTGCCCCAGGAATGTGGCGATCCTACGCTGACCGTCGATTTATCTCGAATAGTACTTGTAAGAATTAAGAATCGATTGACAGACTTGGAATTAACACTAGATTGACAATGGATTGATACGCTGGCCTACCAAGTTCAAACTAGTTATATTATGAAACAACTTATGCTGACCTACTAGCTTCGAACAAAAAAAAATGTATCTGTGATGGTCGCGTCGTGAGGGGTGATCATTGCATTTCCGTTGATTGATGATCAGACGGCCGTGGCGTAGTCTAGTTCAACTCCGGTGAACCTGTGGTGTTGTTAGGCCGGCGTGAGACCGTGTGATCGACGATGACGACTCAATGATAATTACGTTAGCGGTCTCTGTGAATCCGAATCAACAACATATCTGAAGTAACCCTCCCCTTCTTTCCCAGACAGATTGTTAAATTTTCACGCTATATTTACAAACGGACGATACAATACTGGTCATTGTCACCGTTGTAGCGCGATCGAGATATTCAACTCGCCATTCTTGATACAAACTTAACCTTAAACCTAATCCTAACGCCCTAACCGCAAAAATATTTACAAAACATCGCGAATTGAACCGTCATGACGTCATCTGACGTAGTTTGACGCGTCAATAGTGACCAGCGCCCCCAAAGTGACACCATCTGACCTGTACC